CGGGGTGGGTCCGGGGCAGGGGGCGCGGGTGGGCGATGATGTGATGAGGTGATGAGGGGGAGGCGGAGTGAGGAAGGATTAAGCAGAGAGAAGATTATTCATGAGGACAGAAGTGATGCTGACCCCCCCTGCACCCTGCAACCCCCAGAGTAGTGAGTAGTGAGTAGTTCTTGACTAGTTTAGTTATCCGACCTCCACCCAGGCACCTCCTCGACGAAGTGGGGTTCACCACGTTCCCGTCGCTACTGGACCCCCGCATGTTTGGATGGCCCCAGAGTCGCCAGCGGCTGTATCTGGCCTCGGTCCGCACGAGCGTCCTGCGGGACTGCGGGATGGAGCCTGCGGCGGCGTACGAGATCATGACTACCTGTCTGAAGCGTTTCGCCAACGGATACGGCATGGTGGGGCTGGGTGCGCGTGTAATCTGACACTGCTTCCCCGCTGTTGGGTGTTGTCGCCGTCCCGCTCTCATCTCGCGTTGGCCGTTGGCCTTGGTCGTGCATCTCGCACGCGGTATGCGCGGCATGCGGCGCGCGAGATGTGAGTCGGATGCGAGGGGCCACGAACACGAGGGCCGGGTGATGAGTAACAGGGTAACACGCAGTGGATGAGGGATGCGGCATGCGGGATGGATGAGGAATGACGATGGGTGCCCCTCCCCCGCCCCGGCTGCGCCAGGTGATGCCAGACGACGTTCTCCTTTCGGATGATCACTTGTCGGTGCTGCATGCGCTCAAGAGCCCGCTGCCCCAAGCTGAAGCTGTCCAAGCTGAAGATGAAGGCGTTGAGCTTCCTGAGCCCACGCCGTGTGCCCACGGCGCAGCCGCCGCAGTGGACAAGACGCAGATCGACTATGATTCAGCCGATGCTGCGGCTTCTGATGCCGATACAATTCCAGGCATCCCGGCTGGTGCAGTGCAGCCAGCTCCCGCTGCAGAAGCTGCTGCTGATCTGCAGTTCCTGACGCAGCCCGACGCCCCTGGCGCGGCCCCTCCGACGCTGCAGCTCGACCTCGATGCCGAAATGGAGCGAGTCCTCGATGAGGGAGATGCGGCAGCTGCCGAGATCGCTGCTCTCAGCGCCGACTTGTTCGACGGCGAGGTGTTCGATGGTGAACCTGTTGGGCCGGCCGCAGACGAGGGGCCAGCAGCCGCCGTCACCCCCGACGATGCTGGCGCTGACGATCATGCGCCTATTGTGTCTCGTGGCCGAGGCCGAGGCCGCGGTCGCAACGGGCGCGGCTGCCGCGGCGGCCGTGGCGGTGGCCGCGGGCACGCCCGAGGGCGAGGCCGTGGTGCACCGAATGAGACATCTGCAGCTGCGACGCGCGCCATCGACGCCGTCGCGGACCCGACTGACCCGGCGCAGCCGCAGCCCAAGTGGGGCCTGAGGCACAGCGCTGCAGCACTTGCGTCTGGGCAGGACCTTCAACTTTTCCCCGGGTCCCCCCATCTCTCCTCCCCTCCTCCGTCCTCCCTCCTCGCCCCTCCTCCTCCCTCCCCTCGGTCCTTCTCCCTCCCTCCTCCCTGCCCTCCTCCCTCCTCTCTCCTCTCTCTTCCATCCCTCCCTCTCTCCCCTCCTTCCTCCTTCGCCCTTCCTTCGTCCTTCGTCATTGATCCTTCGCCCCCCCTAAGCACGCCTTACCTTACCTCTTACCTCTTGCTCTTGCCGTCTTACCGTCTCACCGCTTACCGTACCGTTACCTCCTTGCCTCTTCCTCAGCAGCCTCAGCAGGATTGGTGCAAGATCTTCACGAACACTGCCGCCGACCTCGCCAAGTTCCCCTTCCTTGGTCATCTTCAGCACAGGGATCGCGATCAGCTCGCGATGCGTGGCGTCAAGTTGTCCGAGCCCACGTTGCTTCTCATCGAGATTGGGCAGACGTTGTCACGCGGGGCGCCGAACGGGCACGTCCGCTATGCTCCGTGCCTGACGCCCAATACGCATATGTCACATACTTAGCAGACTGGCGATCATTGGTTTGATTATATCCTTGTATCCTGGGTCCTGGGAGTCCTGGGTCTTGGGTCCGGGTCCTGGATCCTGGTTGGTGGCCTGGCTGGTCGTCCGATAGTCGGTCGTCGCATCGCGATCGCAAATCGTGCCGATCGATCGTTTGTCGTCGTTCGTCATCGTCATCGTCGCGTCGTGTCGTATCATAGACCGTATCGTATCGTATCGCGCCGTCGTCGTTCGTCCGTGTTCGCGTGTTCGCTGTCCGTTGTCCGTTGTCGTCGCCGTTCGTCGTTCGTCGTTCGTCGTTCGTCATCCTTCGTCGTTGCGTCGTCGTCGGGTGGACTGGAGCTGTCGCCATCGCCGCCTCAGGTGGCTCACGTCGCGCAACCGCTTCTTGGTCGGGCACGAGGCCATGCGGTTCCAGGCGATCACGTACCCAGGGTGTAACGACAGGTTGACAACATTTACAAGCAACGTCTGGAGCTTGGTAGCCTGATCTGGGTCTGTTACATTGGATCGCTCGATCGCAGTCCTCCTCCTCCCTTCGCCCACTTCTTCTCCCATTTCCCTTTCCTCTCTTGCTCGCTGGCTCGCTGCTCATGTCCGCAGGCCGCGCGCCGCAGGCCATATCTCCTTACCTTCTTATCTTCAAGCCCTCTTCATATCATCTTCCTCGCCCTCTCCCCTCTCCCCCCCTCTCCTCTCTCCTCCTCTCCGCCTCTCCCCCCCCCCCGCCCGCGTCCGCAGCCGCAGCCCGCTCAGCCCCGTCGTCGTCGTCGTCGCCGCTTCTGCTGTAGCATGTAGCGTTGTGCCATGTGCCTTTGTATGAAGCCTGTAGTAGCTTTGTGCCTTGTGCCTTTGTGTGTGTGTATCTGCTGCCGTTGTCGCCGCCGTCGTTGCCGTCGCCGCCCGCGGCCGTTGCCCGCCGCCGCCGCCGCTGGCCGCCCCCGCCCCCCCTCTTCGCGGCCTGAGGAACTGTTTGAGCTTGCTGGCAACGCGTTCCAGTCGGGCTGCGTCGCGGCGGAGCTCATGGCGGCGTTCTGCGCGTTGGGCGCAGCATACAACCTGAAGGACCGCGCGCCATGGGGGGGGGGAATGTAAGGTGGGATCAGGTTACAAGAGGTAAGTGGTAAGATGTGAGAGAAGAGTCTTAGTAATAGGTAAGGGGTAGGACAACATGTACGAGGTAGGAGGTGGTAGAAGGAGATGTGGGGGCTCAGTTCGGGGTGATGGGTCAGCGAGGGGTGAGGTGAGGGGTGATGCTATACGCTATGCGGCTATGCGCTATGCGGGAGTGATTTCCTCCTCCGCCACGTCAGCCCACTCTCTCCTCTCTCCGTTCCCCTTCGCTGTTCCCTGTTCCCGATTCCCACTCCGTCTACTATCTCCGATCTCCTCCGTGGGGCCTTTGGCGCATGGTTTAGTCCGCTCCTCTCGTTCTCCACCATGGGAGGAGATGTGAATACGTGTGCTTGTTTGTCAATATATTATATGTGCGAAGTGAGATGCGAGACTCTCGACTCTCCGCTCTCGCAACCCACGACACACATCGTCGTTCTCGGATGGTTTCTTGGTGCGTGGCTCCTGGGCTCTTGGATTCCATGGACTCCTGACTCGTCTGGATCCTGGTCGGGGTCCGGGCCCCGTGGGCCCGGGCCCCTTGGGCCCTGGTGCCTTGGTCCATATGCCTACCTGGTCCGTGGTCTTGGGATATTTCTCAATGCCCCTGGTACATGGGTGGTCTGTGGCCCCCCGCTCGGCCTCCTGCCCTGACTGCTGCGCCGCCTACTCTTTCACCTCTCGTGTCTGGTGTCTGCTTCCGCGCGTGCAAATTCAATCAGCTCAATCTTCAGTTCTGAGGACCCCGAGCCGCACGCCGTTGGCTCAGCAACCGTCAACAGCGGCGAGGACGTGGTGGACTTGGACGCACTCTGGGACTTCTGAAGTGACCTCTGAACCCGTGAACCCCCAGGGCTGAAGGGCTGAGGCTGAGGTGCCCATCTCTACCGTAGCCCGTAGCTACCATCTATGTGCTCGCTCAATCTCCATTGTCCATGCTCCATTCGTGCTGAGCTGCTCGGCGGAAGTTGTCGGAAGGTGGAAGCAGGTAGATAAGACGCAGCCAGAGACCTCCCCCACCCGGCCCACCCGCTGACCCCCACATCCGCACATCCGTCGATTAAGGGCCGACGGTTTTGCAGCCCAGGGCGTTGAATCTAAGAGTCTACGATGCTGGCCGATGGACTTGCGCTGCGGACGATTTGTACCGTACAGCTGCACTGGTCAGCCGCACGGCTGGCTGGCCACTGGTCGCTCTCAGCACTCAGTATTCGGCATTCGGTAGTTGGTAGCTGGTAGTTGCTACGTTGCTACGTGCTACGTGGCTCTCCAAGCTTCATTTGAATTATTTACTTGCTTGCTTGCCGACAGGTGCGCGCATTTTGCCCGCCCAGCTCGCTGCTCGTCTGTGCATGTACGTTACGTTGTTTGTACAGTGTGCAGTTTTACGTTTTACGTGCAGATGCGTGTGTTCTCCCACTCACACGCTGGATCAACGGCTTGCAGGATGCAGCATGCATGGAGATGCAGGAGGATGTAGGTTGCAAGCTTCAACGTGCGTCCGAATCGTCACCTGTCACCTGTCATTGTCGCATGTCACATTTCATTCAGTCCCTTCGTGCCCCGCCCCTTCCCCCCTCCACCCTCCCCCCTCCACCCTCCACCCTGGCGGTTGGCGGTTGGTTGGCGGGTGGAAGGAGGGCGGAGGTCGGGTGCCAGAGCGATTGATACAACCAGGACCGGAGGAGCGGGAGGTTATGCTCTAGGCTGCTCAAAGCCGCGCCGTCCATACTTGATCACATCACGGCCATTGCGGATTGGATTGCGGCCGACTCCCCCTATGCCTGTGCCCCATGCCGCATGCCCCGTGCCTCCTGCCCTATCCGCTGCCATCGCCACTCGAGCGTCGAGCTTGTTTGTTTCAGCAGCTGAGCAGCTGCGCAGCCACAACAGCTGACTCGGCAATTCAGCGAGTCGCGGCGGCCATGGCCGGTGCAGCCGGAGGCTGCGGCTGCGGCGCCAAGGACTGCAGCGGCTGGTGCTCTGCCCCCAGCACCGCTGCGCCGCCCAGCAGCGGCGAGGACGACGTGATGCCGTTCACGCCGCCGCTGGTCGCCGAGGACGTCGTTCCGCTCACGCCGCCGATGGGGGACGAGGACGCCATTCCGTTTACGCCGCCCATGGCCATGGAGTTGGAGCCCGCGGCTGCCCCTCGCACGCCGCTCATGAGCGCCGAGGAGGATGAGGAGGAGCGGCGCGCCATCGTGGCGGCGGCTACGACCCCGCTCAACGACCTGGGCGAGTACGAAGGGTTTGGCGATGGCGTCGACTCCGAGGACCTGGACTATTACGATGACCAGGACTGGGAGTTCGCGGTGGATCGGACCGAACGAACGGGGTGGATATGGAAAGGAGGGGGTTGCGAAATCTGCTGCATGCAGCTGGTTTCGGCCCCGCCGCCAAGCCCACTCCTCGATGCATCGATGCACGGGCGCCTCCCGGCGCTGGGGGGGCGCCGCGAAAATTAGTTGCGTGAGCCGATTCCCCCCCCCCCCTTGGCTATCGCCCCCTTTCGCCCGACCCGAGCCGAGGTGGAGGCGCTGGATGAGATGCGTCGCCGCGAGGAGGCGCAGGCCGCAGCGCTTCGCGCGGCAAAGGCAGCGTCGTTTCGCCGTGCTGTGGACCAAGACAAGCTGGACCGCAAGCGCATCAGGGAGGAAGAGGAGGAGCAGGCGGCCATGGACGAGTTGATGGGGCTGCCAGTGCCGTGGTGGTGGGCCCCGCCCTCCCCGCGGACGCCAGACGGCGGCAGCGACTGCGACGGCCTCGACTCGATCGTGCACGCGGGCGCGCAGTTCGAGCTCACGGAGGAGCAGCTGGCTTTCATTGACAGGCTCGATGAGCTGCATTCCCGCGAGGAGCGCAGGGAGCAGGCCGCGAAGCGGCTGCGGCGCATGCTCGACCTGCACCAGATGAACCAGCAGTGGTGCGAGGCTGAGCACCACCACGCGATGCAGGCGATGCAGGCCGCGCAGGCCGACTCGGTCCAGTAGGCGCAGTGTTGTGTGCTGTGGCATTGGCTATTTTGAATCGGGCAGAAGGCCCTCGCGATCTAGTGATTTTCGCAAATTCACCAACCCGGTGGACCACCCCTGCTGCGCTGCCAGCTGACAGCTGTTACTTTTTCCGTCTGCTGGCTGCCTGTTGCACGTTGCACGTTGCATGTGGCTATTGTGCCGCGTGCCCATGGCATATGTGCATATGTGCCTGTCTGCTTGTGGCGCGTGGCTTGTGCAGCCACCCAGCCACTGGAACCCTGGAACCCTTCTTTCGGATGCTGCAGAGTTGAGAACAGTTCCCCTCGCGAGCCTCTCCATGGAGGCCCTGGGGCCACTCCTTTGCAGGGAGCCACGCTTTCGAGCTTTCGAGCTGTCGTGTTTCCGTGTGCGTGCACAGTGTGTACAGTGATATGTAGTGTGTAATTTAGGAATCGAATCTAGGATGTAGGTTTCGTCGGTGTCGAACGATCGGTTCGGAGCTGTGAAATATTCGGTCCGCATATCGTCATAATCAAGATCGCCATTCCCCCCGTCATCGGTCAGCGTCGTCATGTCGGCATCGCCATCATCGTCGCCATCGAATCGACACCAGACATCGCCATGGTTCCGGTTCCGGTTCCGGTTCCGCCACGCACCGCCCTTGCGCCCAAGCGGCATAGCCTTCGTCATCTGAAGAGAGCAGGAGCTTCAGCTGCTGGCAGTGCGCACGCGGGTGTGGGCTTCAGCCCGTGCCCGCGCTGAAGGGAGGGCGGGTCGGGCTGAGCAGTGGCCGATGGGGAGAGCGCCGATGAGGGCGAGGAGGGCGACGCCGACGACGACGATGCGGAGATTGAGCGGATATGAGGCTCATGAGGACTTGGGGCGGGTCTGCAGCCCAGCTCGGAAATCCAAAGCGGGGCCGCAGCTCCGAAACTACACGCGGCGCGACCAATGTGTTCATCGCGCGGATAACCGATACCCCCGCGCAGGGGAGTTCAAGAGCGCGTCGACACACTACGCGCCGAGCCGCTCTAAGACCGCACCAGTGCAGAAGCCGAGGAACTTGGTCGTCTGGGCGGCATTCACTTGGGCACCGTCGACCTGGACGTTGTCGGGCAGCGCACTGACCTGCATCGGGAAGATCGGGCGCATGTCCTCGAACTCGCCCTTCTTGACGCCAAGTGCGTCGAGGGCCCGCGTCGGCGTGACCAGAAGCCATTGGGCACTCGACCTGTCGACGAAAGTCGAGTACCAGCCGTTGATCTGTTGCAGGACCAACAGCACGCGGCCGTCGTCGTAGCTCGTCATCCCCATCAGTGCGTCGTAGCTGATCAGCGACAGGATGGTGCGGACCCAGACGCCGCTGGATGCGCCGACATCCAGTGACGACGCCGCCACTGAAGGTGTGGGCCGCTTTGGCGGCGTCGGCGTTGTATCCAACGCGCGCGCGGCCGCGTGCCGCTGACGTGGCGTCGGCATGCGTCGCGGGCCGATGTTGGCGCGGTGAGCACAGGCCGACGCGGGCAAGGCGGGTGCTCGCGCCGATATCGCTAGCGGCGACTGGAGGGCTGCAGCCCTACGAGGTGGGTCGCACCATCAGCATGGCGAGGATGATGCGTGGGATGCAGCGCTGCTTCAGGGGGCCTCAGGAGGCCCCTGCAGGGGGGCACATGAGGTGCCAAGAAGCCCCAGGGGGGGGGCACATGAGGCCCCAGGAGACCCGAATAGCTTACAGGCAGCCCTTAAGAGGCCATCCTACCAGGAAGCCCCAGGAGGCCATGGAAGCCCGATGAGGCCCCAGTAACATGCAGGAGCCCCCAGGCGGCTCCAGGAGGCCTCAGGAGGCCCCAACAGGCTCATGGTTCGTATAAGTAGTTATAGTGCGTGAACTCACTGTTCTAACATCGGCACCCTGTTCAGCATAATTATCATGACACCATTCCGCATCCCTATCATATCCCCCCCGCCCCAGCGATCTGCCGCCCCGCGTGCGCCGAGGGAGGTTGAGGAGGCATGGCGTGATGATTGCGATGATGATAATGATGATGACGGCGTCGGTGGTGATAACGATGATGATGATGATGCTGATGATGATGATGATGATGATGATGATGATGGCGACGGTGGTTGATGATGCCGATGATGCCGCTGCATCGCGCGCCCGCGCGCCGCGGTTTCGGCTCGGGCGCGCGTCTTCCATAGGCATCACCGCCAGGGTCACGTCTGCCCCCGCGGGTGGCATACTCCCTCGTCGCCGCGGCTGGACGCGGCTCGGACAATGAGCCGGGGCACTGCGTCCGAGGACAGTGTGCATGGTGGCCCTGATGACCCATGGGCCATCTTATTCTCGGGCCCTCTGCCTGGGGCCCCCTTGGACTTGCCCGAGCAGATGGAGGAGGACGACGGCAGGTCGCCCAGCATGCCCATTCCTCGGGCAGGCATGCCGACGACATGGGTCGTCGACGAATGGGACAACATTCAGCAGGGGAGAATGCTGGGGAGAAGAGGTCGGCACCCCCAGCACCTCCAGCGGTGATGCCGATGGAGGGTGCCGCGCGCGAAGCGGCGCGCCTCCGCGTCGCGGCGGCGATGGAGCGCCTCGCCGTCGCGGCCGCGATGGCGCGGTGGCGGGGGGGCGCCACGCCGACGCTGCACGACGTCGCGCGGTCCTTTCTCTGAGGGCCCAGCCCGCCCATCGGGGGGTGGTGATGATGACGATGATGATGACGATGCCGATGATGAAGGCGATGCTGGCGACGACGATGACGGACAAGGAATGCTGCGGAATTGAATGAGGAGGGAATAGTCGACGGAGAGGAGGTGGGAACCAGACGGAGGGAGGATATACCGCGCCCTCGCCCGCCGAGCATAGAGTTGGCGCGTAACGAGTGCGACCAGTTCAGCCAGTCAGTTACCCGCGAGGAACGCATGCGGGGGGGGGTGACGATGGCGGAGAGAGGAGATGCCGTCTCCAATGGCGAAAGCCGAACGAGTTGGCGGAGGTCGCGCCTCCACCGAACGGGACACCTCCACCGAGCACGCACGGCGTCGGGGAGGGGCCGCGCGCCGCGGGCCCTCACCGCGGGACCGCACCGCGGCCGCGACCGCGAGCCGCCGCCACACAAACGACACGCCGCCGTCGTCGTCTTCGTCGTCGTCGCCGTCGCCGCCGTCACCGTTGCTGTCCGTCGTCGTCCGTTGTCGCCCGTCGTCGACTCAGCATGCCCCATCTCGTCCGCCGTCGCCGTCCGCCGCCGACTCGTCCGTCGTCGTCGTCCGCCCGTCGCCGACGCACCCGCTACAGCGGATGAGGGGGGCTGGGTGAGTGAAGATCTGGCACTCGCGGACCCTCGGCGGCCATCGCAACGGCCTGGCACGCCCAGTGCTGCATGGCCCTGCCCATGCGGCCGAGCATCTGCTGCGACCTGTGGTGCAGGGCCTCCCGCGCCTCGCGCGCGGCGCGCTCGTGGTCGCCGAGCAGCAGCCGCATATCATGCAGCTGCCGCTGCGCCGCCGCTGCCTCGCCCGCCGCCGCATCGCGCGTCGAGCGCAGCACCGCCCGCGCCGCGGCGAGCCCGTCCTCCCACGTGCGCAGCCGCCGCTGGAGGAGATCGATCTCCGCCTCCAGCACCTCGGTGGCGGCGGCGGGGGGCGCGGCGGGGGCCGCGGGCGGCGGCGGGGCGGGCGCGTCGGCGGTCCACCCGCGCGCTGCCCACTCGGCCCGCGGCGAGTGCGCGGGCGGCGGCGGGCGCGCCGCCAGCAGGCTCGCGGCGCGCAGGCGCGCCTCGGCGCCCGCGCGGATCGACTCCACGTCGAAGAACGCGCCAGGGCCGTCCACCTGGCGCGCCTCGACCGCGGCGTCGATCGCGGCGTCGATCGCCGCGACCGCGGCCGTCCCGACGTGGCCCTCGAGCTCCACCGTCGAGCCCGCCGCCACCGCGCCGCGCTGCACGTCGGCGAAGCGCACCTCCGCGTCGGCCGCCGCGGCCTGCTGCGCAGGCGCGACGGCAGCGTCGGCAGCCGCCCGCCGCCACTGGGCCAGCGCCGCCGTCTCAAGCATGAGACGGCGGGCCCGCTCGGCCGCGGCGAACTTCGCGATCGCCCCGGCCCGATCGGCGACAAAGGCGGCCGCATCCACCCACTCCTCGGCGACCTGCCTCGCGATCGCAGCGATCTCGCGGTCGGAGACCGCCGCGGGGGGGCGCGCCGCCCCCGCGTCGCCCGCCAGCGACTTCGCCAGCGAGCGCGCGCAGCGGCCGGCCGCCATCTGGCCGTCGGGGACCGCGCGGGCGATCCCATGCAGCGCCATGGCCTGCAACCACGGCGGGGCCAGCAGC